ATTGCTGCATACTTGTCACATCGCACACAGTCTGTTTCCATCGGAGGTTGCATCTCTCCAGTTCTGCCTGTAACGTCAGGGGTCCCCCAAGGGAGCGTTTTAGGTCCTCTTTTGTTCTTGGTGTACATAAATGATATTGTTTCAATCACTGACGCAGGTGTCCATATATGTCTTTTTGCCGACGATTGCATTATTTTTAAAGAAATAACTTCGAGCTTGGATCAGTTATTGCTAGATCATAGTTTGCATTCCGTTGTATCATGGTGCGATACGTGGAAAATGAAGCTTAACTCTGCTAAATCAACACTTTTACGTATTACAAAAAAGAAGCAACCCTTTGAATACATTTATAATATCGCGGACACCCCGGTTACTGTGGAGCGAGAATGTAAATATCTTGGTTTAATTATATCGGACACACTTTCTTGGTCTCCTCATATAAAACATATCTGTACTTCGGCATCCAGGAAGTTGGGTTTCATTAAAAGAAAGTTGAACGACGCTCCGATTCAGATTAAGCTACAAGTGTATTATTCATTAGTCAGATCCAAGTTGGAGTATGGAAATATTGTTTGGGATCCATTCACTCAGAAAGATATCCGGAAGTTGGAGATGGTGCAACGTCGAGCGGTTCGGTTTATTTACGGAAAGTATAGAAGGCTGGATTCACCATCTCAACTTATGCAGGCTAACGGAATACAGACTCTTCAGGCCAGAAGGAAACCAGCGCGGTTGAAATTCTTGTTTCATCTTCAGCAAGGACAGACTCGCATAGACCCATTGCAATATATTTCCCCTTTAGCGTCAAGAGCTACGCGGCACAGACATCAGTTTTCACTAACACCCATTTTTGCGCGTACTAATATGTTTAAGTTTAGCTTTTTCCCTCGCACTATTAGCGACTGGAACGGTTTACCTCTCGAACTATTTATCGACACCATTTTCGTAGAAGGTCTCGAGCGTCTTGATAACTAACATGTTTTGCTTTGTACATTGCTGCACCTTCATCTTTTTCGCATGGACATTAGGATTGTATAAACCTTCATACTACATCTGGATAGGTCATTTTGTATTAGTGCATGATGGAATTACATACTGCTTGATGCTTGCTTTCCCCCCTCCCCTTTTTTTTAAATAATATATCCTGTATATTTGCTAGTTAGTTGTAAACCTTTTAATGTCGCGTTATTTGCTTTCGTTTTATGTGTGAATGTATATGTTGTATCCCACACCTACTCGGGCCTTCGATGGCTTGTAGTATCCTCTAAATAAAATAATAAAAAAAAATATTGTCCAGAAGTCCGTGAGCATAACCTTGCCCAGAGTCGGAACAGCTAGGAGCATGTTTGGGCTTGATGATGAAGTGTGATTCCACACTTCGCTTGCCCTCTTGGTTTTTGACTGAACAAAGATCACCCAAAATGCGTCAACTATAAAAATGTCTCAAAGAAAATCATCTCCCTCAGAATCATAGCAGCGTCTCGCCCATATCCACAAACTTTTCCTTAAAGGAAAACTGAAACGGTCGTGTATTTGAGAGGAAAAAAGACACATTTAAATCGTCATCATTTGGCCTCCACGAATATCAAAATTACATTTCAGATTGATGTGCCAAGTTGCTATCACCGCGATTTGAAAAGAAAGCTGCCCCGCCTCCTTCCCGGCGCGTTCGGTGGGACGGAAGAATCGTGACGTGATTCAGATATCGCAACATTCTCGCACGTTACGCAAGCCTTACCTTAGCGATCAAAATTTTAGATTTTCCCCACGTCTAGTGATTTGTTCAAGTCAAGTGCTTGTGAAATTCTAATTCGCAAAACCGGAATACCCAAGAGTTCACCTCTAACTTGTTTGTTGGTGTTTTTGTTGTTATTTCTTAAAAACGAAACTTCTTCAATTTTTTTTTTAAATGTTTGGTGTAGGTTGTTGTGGTAGCTACCTGGCGGTCGCTGTACGCTACTGCAGAATATCACGAATGATGTGGTGCACCGAGCAATAACCTATCTTCAATTCCTGAGTCATCTAATTGATTCTGATATGAGGTTTTCGAGTACGAGCATTTCAACTCCTGATATTTAGCCCGGCATCGTCAAAGCGTGAGTTTGGCTGCAGTGAGGTGCGTAACTCAAATTTGACTCACCGCTTTGGGCCTTCTTGTATTACTCTTGCACCTGTATAAGTTACATTATGGTGCCTACGTTCTGTTTCAGCATCCTGCGAGGTATATCCACGGGCTTATCGCCCTCTAGACCCTCAAACAGAATTACAGAGTGCTGCTCTTTCCTAGTGCACGCTGCAAAAGGGACAGTAATATCGACTGTTGTGATCACGTGAAACTTTTCATCTGGCAACTGGTTTCCGTAAAATGCTCCCTCTAGTGAAGGGCCAAAGCATACTTATAACAGACGTTTAGTGTGGGATTTCAACTTCTTATAAATAAATTTGTGTTATTTTTTGCTGCCGCCGTATAACTGGGGTACCGCTATTTTGGGGTTTAATTTACTTCAGATTCTGAGGTGTATTTTCGTGGTTTATTTTTCTCCCACAAACTCGGGAGCTTTCGGTATCAATTGGTTTCGTAGGCCGAAAAACCGTGGCCTAATCAAAATTCACGTTAAAAAAAAAAAATCAAACACGTGTATGGGATTCCCAAATGTCCAGGGAACACACGCGTGACCTGAATAATGTGAGGACGTCTCCGGAGTCTAGTAAAAGACACAAAAGAAAGCTGTTGATATACATTTGCTCCCCCTGCGTTTTGAGTTTCCCTCATCGAGGAACACCTCCAAGTAGGGGTTTCTCCGTTTTCCCCAATTTTCATGAAACCACGTCGGGGCGTAATTTTCAGAATTTATCGGTATTTACCGAAAACACCGAACTATACTTATTAAACGGTCATTCTGCCCAATCACCGTTTTGCTTGTTTCTTTTTGCCTAATATATTTTATCTTGTATTACCTTACTCGTGACGCGGAATTGAACTTCTCTGGACGGGCACGGCTTCCCCGCAGCACAAGTCTCTAACCCTAACGACCCTCAGTTTACCTGCGAGAAACGATGGAGACAAGATTTACGAAACTAAGCGATTCAAACCACGAAGAGCGTTTGCAATATAATGGCGCACGTCTCCTGGACAGTTTGATGGCAAGTCCGCATGCGTTGCGTTTTCGGATGGTGAGAAGTAAAAGCGTACAGAAGTGAGCAAACGCTTTCAGATGATAAACGCTGTTGTCATCTCCTCGCATCTTACGTTGCCATTGCGACCCTTGAACCACGTGACCACTTCGAAACACTTTGAAATCTGGGCACACCACGACAAGCCTGCGAGTGTTGACCCACCCCGTGGGATCGACGGTGGTCCGGAGGGGAGGCACTCACTTGATCGCATGACGTTTTAGCGAACGCCCGCGTTTCACCGAATGACACTTTAGCGAATAGTCGGACGCCGCGAAGCGGCGTTTTCGGGTGGGCCAAATGGGTTCACAATTTTGTAATGAGCCGCCGCAGACTGTCGCCGCGAAGTGGCGTAAGCGCAGCGCGCCGGATGGGTTAACGCGCGCCCCCGTTATTCGCTAAAACGTCGATTCGCTCAAATGTCGCTGTTCGCTAAAACGTCATTCGCTCATGTGATATGGACCCAAGCCTTGCTTACCATGCAGTGTTTGATCGGGAAACGAAAACGAAAGAAACTAATGTTATATTTGTACTGCATCAGATTTCAATAACATTTGTGTTTTTTAAAATTATTTTACATATAAAACTTCAGCACCCTCTCCTTTTTCTGACTGCAGAGTCTTAATCGCCTAACTGTAAAAAAGAAATCGTGCACCTAAGACTTCGCGATGGGCCTTAAAATGGTTCATGCACGCCAACTTGTTAGTGTTATAGCGATATTGGTTTGATTTCGTAATGAAAACTATTGTTGATTCATAAAATTTTCTAATAATACGTCTCTATAAAAATCAAGTGGCCTACTATTGTATTATTAATATGCAAACAAAGACCGTGATGCAAAATTATTTTTTTATTTGTATTATGTTCGCTATGTCGACTTTTCTGTTTTAATAAGTGAACATCTAATTTTGTAAAAAAAATTCCATTCGCCTTCACTTTGTGCAGTAAATACGGACTCCGATCATGCGAAAACCCCATACCTAAATATTCTACGGACAAATTGAATGAGGGTATGAATATTTCTCTAGGTATTTTAGACAACTAACATCATAGACGATTTTGCGGGAAACGAAGGCGTCCATTTTAACGAGACATCACAGTATCTACTTTTCTGACTTAAAGAGATACCATTCTCAGTAAAAAGAAAAAAAAATCCCTTGCCCTAAGCTTAACAGAAATATTTATTTACCACCTACTGGTACCCTAAGTCAGCAGTGCGTTCATAGGGTGAATGTGTATAGCCAAAAGTAGCAAAACATTAAAAAGATACCAAGCATGATTCATAAAGTTACATTTCGCATCCTGAAAATAACTTGGGTTTTAACTCCTAAAAACGAGCGAGTTGAGCAAAATCTTAAACGAAAACTTAAAATCGAAAGAATAAGACACGGAGGACCCCAAGCACAGTTCCTCCGTGTTGCCCTCCATGTTTTATTCTTTTGATTTTAAGTAACTTGGGTTTACTGAACTGAAAAAAAGAAAACAAGGCTTCATCTAGAATAGAATCACATGGTAAACCGGTTTTGGGACTACAGAGCTAGTTTCATAGCCTGTGACCGCTAATCATTTTCTTTTTTTTTCCGTATACGGATAACTTCCCATTAGAAATTCTGTGGTTGCTTGAGGAGATTCGAAGTTCCTTCGTGCACACAGTGGTTCACATTCTTCTGAGATTTCGAATTTTATCACATCAACTGCCCTGCCCTTTTCTCTTCCATTTAACATTCCTTGCCAGTATTACCCAGGATCCTCTCCTGCAAAGTTTTACTATAAATACGGGCGAAAGGAGGCACAACCGCACAGTTGAAGCTTCCTACGGACAACCAACAGATTCAATCATGGTGCGTATAAGTCTGGTACGTTGTACCTGGAAATATAAATAGATACCTTTTGCACACTTGAATTAATCTGAAAAGACTCCTTTTAAATTTAACAAATAAAAAAAATTACGCTTTTCATAAACTAAACAAATGGACAGAGCGATGTCACAGTCGACAGATTTCTGTACTTTGTCTTTGCGCGAACCTTCTTTATGTATGCATAACCATATCACCAACCAATGCCAACATTACAAACTTTGGACGTACCTCGTTCTGTTAAAAATATAAAGTAGAACCTTGACAGTGTCATATATCAGACAGTTCTGTCTATTTATGGTAGTAGGCTACAAAAATAAACTAATGGAACTTAGGTTCTTAGACAACAGTAAGCAAAAGGAAATAATTATTCATATGGACGAGGCACTAACGCGAACAGCGACCCATCTGCATTTCACGCATTGTTGTGTTATATACACAGTCCATAAATATATATATATTTTTTTAATCTGGCACAGATCCGGGCTTGTCTTATTCTGGCTCTGGCGACCAGCGCCTTCGCTGGCTACGTCAACGGAGGCTATGGTCTCGGACTAGGCTATGGTCTCGGATACGGACACGCCCTCGGCTACGGACACACTCTTGGCTACGGTCATGGCCTCGGCTACGGCCTAGGTCTTGGCTATGGCCATGGCCTCGGCTTCACCCACGGCCTCGGCTACGGCCATGGCCTCGCTTACGGTCATGGTCTCAGCTACGGCGGTCTGAGTGTTGCTGCTCCTGCTGTCACTCGCACTGTCTCCTACGCCGCTCCAGCTGTCACCAAGGTTGCCGCCATCCACGCTGCTCCAGCCGTCGCCACTTACGCCACTGCCCCAGCCGTCACCAGGGTTGCCACCTACGCTGCTGCTCCAGTCGCCACGTACGCCGCTCCGGCCTTCACCAAGGTTGCTGCCGTCCATGCTGCTCCAGCCGTCGCCACTTACGCCACTGCTCCTGCCGTGACCAGGGTTGCCACATACGCCGCTGCCCCAGTCGCCACCTATGCTGCAGCTCCAGTCGCCACCGTGGCCGCTGCTCCAGTCGTCACCCGCACTGTCGCCACCTCCCACGTCGCTGCTCCAGTTGTCGGCGCCTACCACGCTGCCCCAGCTGTGACAACCGTTGCTCACGCTCCAGCTGTTGCCACCGTTGCTCACGGCCCAGCTCTCGGCTACGGCTACGGAGTTGGACACCTCGGCTACGGTCTTGGCCACTACGGCTATGGACACGGTCTTGCCAGCTACGGCCTCAACTACGGTTATGGCCTTGGCACCTTCGGCGACTACACCACCCTTCTTCGCAAGAAGAAGTGTAAGTATAAAATTTATGATTTAAACATTGAAAAAAAAAACTGTAGCTAGCATTTCGTCGCTTTCAAGACGTTGCTATTCAAGAAAATCCAAAATGCGAACTCGGACTACGTATCTCAACACTTCCTTTATTCAAGGCCTCTTCTCAATTGTGATTCTGTTTGTATCGTTACAGAAACGGTGACTCTGACAACGCCTGCAAGTCGTCTAGGAGTCCGCTGGGCTTAGCTCTTCATCTAAGTAGAGAAAACAATAAAACTAATTTAATTTTATTGCGTTTTTTTTAATTTTGCGCATGAAATTATTACGAACACAAACTTCCTTCACACGCTCTAGGAAAATATTAAAGTGCTCGCAAATCGTGTGGTGAAGGTAGTATTGTCACGATGATTAGGAGTCAGATACAAGGCGTCTGCAGACGCCTCGTCTCTGATTCCTAATCACATTATACTCCGCATTAAGCATGCTTAATGGTGGAGCATAATTTAAGAGTAAAGCTATACGCACACCGGAGTGCACATCGGACGGAAATGGCTATACACACTCCTCTAATCTCGTATAAAACAAATGGTCACAACGAGTTTTCTGATCGTCACGTAAACCCAGGATCAATCTTGACGGGTATTAAGATGTGTTACCGCAACTCTGCCACGAGGCTTATAATCAATGGTTCGCTTTCAAGTCCAGTTCTACTAGAATCATCGGTCAAACAAAGATGGCCATTATCCCCTCTTTTATTTTCTCTATATCTGGAACCCTAGCGCTTAAGCGTGCTAACAAACCCTACCGTGGAAGGTTATCATTTCTAATGCACAGAGGTTAAGGTGTTGGCATACGCCGATGATACTGCCTTCTTTTGTGCTGATAAGCGAAGCATAGACAATGTCTTCACTTTAACTCAAAACTTCTGTGATGCTACCGGTGCTCGTATTAATAAGACGAAATGCGTTGGCTTCTGGTGCGGGCAATGGGCCACAACGCCCTCAGAATATGCTGGCATATCGTGGACTTGTGTCGCTCCCCAGTACTTAGGAGTGCCCCTCAATTGTATTCGGAACAATGGTCACTACTGGACAGAACGAGTGGCGAAAATCAAAACTCAAGCTGACAGTATGAAAACAAATCAGTGGTCCGTTTTCGGGTGACCAAAAGCGTGTAATATTCTTCTTGCAGCGAAACTTTGGTATATCCTTCAGGTTATTTGCTGTGCCAGAACCCACATTCAAAAGTTTCACAGGGTTTTTGCTACCTTTGTGTGGATCTCCACCTGGGAACCTATGCGACGAGACAATATTTTTTGCCCTGTTGATGTCGGAGGCCTCGGACTATTACTTATCTTTTTAAAACAAATAATAACCCGTTTTCTATTCTTCAGAACAACATCACATCATTTCCTTCGTACTTACCTACGGGCGCACCTCTCAGATGCTTTACCTTATTTGTTAGTTTCATCGGTATCGGCGGGCACATCACGTCCCTTGGGATTCCTCAGAGAAGGAGTAAGCGCAATAGAGTTTCTAAGACCCTGTTTTTCACTGGAACATTTATTTACAATTTCACGCAAAGCATTATATGCCGATCTTCTTGACGTAACTTTTCCTGTACCTTTGTATCGAAGTATATTCAACCATGGACCAGGACAATTTGTTCTTGCGTGTGTCCGAAAATTGCGTGTCTCACCTAACGCAAAGTCATTTTTCTTTAAACTTCACACTTCAACGTTGCCTGTGAAATCCTGGCTTCGCGAACGAGGAATTTTTGTACCATGGTCAGTGAATTGCCGTTTTTTTAACCAACCAGAAACTATAGAACATTTTTTTGTTTTCTGCACTGAAGCCTACCTCTTGTGGGACGTCGTACAGAGAACACTGAAAAAGGATTTGGACATCAACGCCTACACAATCCGGTTTTTACCTTTAAAACCCAACGATAGTTTTCCTTATGATTAGTTCACGCTGATGGGTTTGCATAGTCTCTGGAAGACGAGAATGATCTACAGAAATGCCGATCCACCCCGGACTACAAAATCAAATCTTATAGAAACTGTATCTCACGTGAGAAATGTGTTCGATCATCTTAAAGAACGCCCAGACTGGTATGCTTTTATTGATCGATGTCTCCATCTTCCTGATTTTTATCTATGCCATTTATTTTTAATCCTTTCCTTTTTTCCCGAGCGTAAACCGATAACAATACTTTGATATGATGAAAAGCCGTTTAATTGTGTGTATTGTTATTCTTATAAGTGATAGCCTTGTCGAACTGCATGCTTGCCGTTTGTCCTGTCAATTTCCGATACGATAAATAAAAAAAAAAATGATGGCATAGCATAGGGGTTAGGTGTCCGCTTTATACGGAAGTGGACGCAGGTTCCATCCGTGGTGGGCCTCTTTTTTATTTTTCAGTTGTTCTCGAACATTTTGTTTTGTCGAGGCATTTGGCGATATTTACGATATTTTTGTTTTTACAATAAACAGTGAAAAAAAAAAATAAAAAAAATGAATGTCGTCGGCGAAACTTCGCAGAACTGAATGGTGAGATCGGGGACAGCGGGGCTTGGGTTGCCAGCTGGACGCCGCGAAGCGGTGTGTACTGGTTAAATTTCGTAATTAGCAGCCGCATACTGTCGCCGCGAAGCGGCGTGAACACAGGCGGGGAGCTGTGTTAACGAGCTCCCCAGTGATACACGCGCCGTTCGAAAAGGGTGACTCGAGCGGCATGAGCTCTCCGCGGAGTGCGTATATCCATTTCCGTCCGAAGTGCACTCCGGAGTGCGTATAGCTTTACTCATAATTTAATCTGGCCGACACATGCTCGTGACCGTTGACGCTGCATGGCACCAGCAACAGCCCGTCTTGTTCTTTTTTTTTGTTTTTTTCTCATGGAATTAGCCCGGGGAATAATGCAGGTCGTCTTGACAGAACAGTTTAGCTGGTGGAAAAGAATGAACGATGGTGCTATGCTGTGAAGGGTGGGTGATATGGCTTCACAATTGTAACGTGAAAGATCCCTTCTTTACATTCGACTGCGATCAATCACGGGCTACAGAAGTTGAACTTTCAACGACGCGTCAGAGATTCGGCATAAGATTTCGTAGGGGCCCAGCTAGCAATGATGCGGCTTGTTTGCGTTGGGTTGCTGTATAGCTGGGACCCAAATCGCCAACTGAACAAGTTGTAGTCAGATGAGTGGTGCTGTAGTGTGGAGATTGTTGTTGTTACGCGCGAGTTTTTCTGCCGAGTAAACTGTAGCACTTTTTGTGCTCGATAAACTATTTCGACGATACTGGGCGAAAGGTGGACGTCGTAGTGTGGGCCTGAACCTTTTTTTTTTATTATTAAAGTAGTTTTTAGACCGAAATCTCTCGCGTCCGAATGCATCTCGGTCTTAGATGATGGATCAAAATGCGCCAGTACAAGTCTAGATATTAAAGATGATTCTAAGACAAATAAATGCCCTTCTCTCACCGTTTACTCTGTAAAACTTGCATGTCCTTTCTAAGAATGTAGTTGAGACGATGCTGGAAAAACAACGCATTAATCGACGAGAATTCGACTATAGTCAAAGAAAGGAACGCAATATTTTCGTGTAGGTCGGACCCGGAAAATTGAAGAAAACATCTAGTATATTGGGGTATGGCGTTATTACCTGTGTATCGGCCGCAACACCGATAAATTTGAGCCTTTAGTATGCAAACTTGAATTTCTTGGATATAACTGCAGGGAAGCACTTCGGAAACACAAAGGAACTGTATGAAAGCACTAGAAATGCTCATCGAAGGGCGCTGAGAACAATGCCCCGTCGTCTCAACAACATAAATATGCTGTCCACCTGTAGCAGCGGAATAACGTATCCAGCATTTTTTCGAATGTAATTGGTGCATTGGAAAGTTCTAAAGTCATTACGCGTAACGGGTACAGGCCACCAGGTGTTAAAACGCTGTTTTTTTTCTCGATCGTTCGCGTCCACACTTATATGGCAATATCCTGACGGCACGTCGAACGATGGAAAGTATTCCCCGCCATCGATGTATCAGGAGCATAATCAATACGTGGCAAAGAATAAACATCTTTTTTGTTGCTGTTGAAATGTCTGTAGAAAATACCGAATCTCCAGCTACAATCTTTCTTTTTAACGGATACAACCGGTGAATACAAGGACCCTGTAGCAAATACCAAATCTCCAGCTACAATCTTTCTTTTTAACAGATACAACCGGTGAACACGAAGAAGTACATGACTATTGATTTTTTTTTTGGTGTATAACGTCGCTAACATGCTTTTGAATGACGTGTCGTTTTGTTTGGGAAACACGATAGGAAACACTATTTAATGGGTGGTGGTCTCCTATATCGATAGCACATCTTACAATGTGGCGCCACCTAAAGATTTTGAATCAATCATATATATCCTCGAAGTCATCTAGGAGGTTTAACAAGAGATCACGCGTGGAAAATTTTAAACAAGAATCAATCATTGCAAGGAGAGAATAAGTTCTGAGATCGCGGGTTTCTGCATATGATGAGCACGATTCGGATTGCGTGTGGCTAACTGTATTGATATGTTAACTTGTTTAAATATCGACTGTGGCAACACAGGTACCAGCGGGCAGAATTTGACCAATATGGGTTGTGTTGGTTATCAATACGGGAGTTCGGCAGCCACGTGAGGTGGTAGGTGCTACAGGCAAGGCAATGACTTTTTGAAAAATAAAGTTCCCTGTTCGGCCCAACTAAGTAGTTCGATTTGATTGCGTCTCTATTCATTTGGATGAGTTCGGTGGACAAAGGTGTTATCCGATAGTCTATGGCGTATTGAAAAGCGACGGTCCGAGATTAGAGTAAGAGGGATTTTAACACCACTTAAATATACTTCGTTTCTCCCAGAATCAATAGGTGCGTGACCCTATAGCAAGTCCCATGTGAGAATAACATCGTGCGTGCAGTTAATACGATACAACAATGCGAATGATAGTCATTTCCATTTGTGATGGTTACGGAAACTACGCCGACTGGGTGAAATAAAGATGTGTTAGCTCAACCTAGAGAACCT